ATTTTAACCTACAAGTCGATTATGCCGCACTATTCATCATTGCTAGAAAACCAACTTTTAATAATATTCGGTATTACAATCTCTTTAATATCACACCTTCAAATCTATTATTATTATTATTGTTATCATTAATATCAAAGAGAATTGAGAGAGATATTAAAAGATTAGCTATTCGTTTCTTTTAGATAAAAGCTAAAAATTAGGAAAACCTTGCACCCATCAGGGCGATCAGTTGTCCAGGTTGTGCAATTCCAGTAACATCTTCGAGTAATAAACGTTTCGTCTTTTTTACAGTTACTGATAAACCTTCCCAAGTTAAGAAAACTGGATCAACTGGTAGGAAGGTGATAGATGCATGTGAAGAAACATTGGAAGGCATTGTTTAATCAATTAATTGGCAAATGATGAAAACAAATGATGCTTAATGAAAGCAACCAACCAACGTCAACGACTGTAAAAGTATTAAATTGAAATTGGCTAAAATGTTTCATTTATATAGTCTACTAGGAATAAATTCATTGAAAAATTTAACATTCTAATGTGTAATTAATTACATGTATTGATCGATATGTATAGTTAACATTAAAATAACGTGTTTATTAATACGTAAGTCATAAGGTAATTTACTCTGTTAATTTAACACAATTTTATTGAAATCGTAAATCGATCATCAAACTTCTTCGATTTGTCGATGTATAGATTAATATAGATTATGAAGTTAAATCTGTCAATGCGACGCTTTGCTTACAAGAAACTCGCTAATCTCTAGCCATCTTAAAATACGTACTGACCGACCAGTTTTGAATAAGCGTATAGTATGTGAGATCAGAAATGATCGAGCTTATTTCGGACAATTAAATCAGGCTACATAGTAAAAAAAACTATCAGCACCATTATTTGCCTGAAAATACTCTTCGAGTTTTGAAAATTTTTCCCTTGAATTGGAAAATTTGTCAAATTCAATATTATGGCATGGTACTATGATATTTCAATTAGCTATTATTTCATTCAAAAAATGAGTCATGACATCCTTCCTTAATCATGTGGCTTCTGTCATTCTCCTTTCGACTTGTTCATGAAAACCATTCAGAAAAACGGAAATAAATGACAGTTGATAATTCTTCCCTTCGACACAATATATCCTATCTTTCCTTTATACCACATTTTTGTTAATGCGTCACCCTTTTCCAACAGCTTTTTTGTTTTTTTTGCTTTTATTTATGCATATGTATTGAACAGTGAAAAATTTACGCATAACTTTCATATACAGAAAGAAAAGAAAGCAAAAGCTATAAGTGTTTCAGACGTTTCCGCGGTGGATGACTCATAATGATTGGTGGCGTTTGTTGGGTTGCCAATGCACGGAACACTTCAGCAAGTAATGGTGGATGATCGCGCACCAAGCAACTCCAACCATCTGATTCCATAATCTCATTTGCATGTACATTCTGAAATTTTTCACACTGTTATTCATTACACTATTTGATCAATAATGAATAAAATATAAAACAATGGTTCAACGAATGGTATTTCTGAATTACTAATGTACATCATTGAGAAACATTCTGCATTCAACAACTGAACAATCACGTTTTTTTCTAACTGATTTTTTTCTTATTAAATTGTTAAATATGAAGTGGGAACTTTAATTACAATCATAACAGAAATGATCAGCAACAACTATTTTCTAATATTTGAAACACACGGTACTTCAATTATTATTAAAAATCACTCAGATTATACTTGGCCACTTACCTACTGAAAAAATTAACTGTTAGTATGTTACTGTAAACATTACAATGGCACAAATAAAACAATCATAAAAAATTGATAGTACCGACAATGTAAATCAAAATAATATTTTACACCGATAAAATGAATTAGGAAAACTTTTACTGATAATTTTCCCGTTCTTCTTTCCTTATTTGTTTCCTTTTTCAACTATTTAATTTACTTAAAATTTCATCTCATTTTCCCTTCAAACTTCATTTTACTAACATCGTCTACTATTACGACAACAAACTTACGATATAATCAATGGCCTGATGCTTCAGCTGTTCAGCACTATGTAAATCGGCAAGTATCAATGTCTCACAGGCATTTTCATTCGTAAGGTTTAAACATAACGCTTGTTCACACATAACCTGAAAAGGTGTAGTAATTGCAACTTTCTGTGATATTCTTGGAAAACCAAAGTTATGAACGCATTTCAAAAATTATTATAACCTCGCTTATTTTTTTCTACAAACTCATGTTAATGATATCGTTTTTACTCTTACGACAACACAAACTTACGATACAATCAATGGCTTGGTTTAAGTGGCCGTCTAAGGACATAAATTTCAGCGGAACAAGTATTCACTTCTACCTATAACTCTCTTCTCCTTCAAAATTAAACAACTACACAATAATTTGGGCAGCTGAGGATATAAAAAATGGATAAGAAAAAAGCTCCAACATTTGTAAAACTCGATTTATTTATGCCTTTCTAAATTTGCAGAAAAATTTGTTAAGAAAGCATTGATCCGCTTTGATGTAATATTAAATATCGAAACGGTTTAATCTAATATAACTCTTCCTCTATCCATTAAACGCTTTTTAATGAACATATCGCACCACCAGTAATATTCAAATTTTTTATGAAGTTCTTACAACTTATTATATATATGTAATTTAAAAAAAAAAGAAAATTTACTTTCAATCTATCTAATTGATATTTGTCAGCCGCGGCTAAGAGCGTATCAGCCATGCGATCAAGATTGGGCGCTGCGCCAGTGTACATAAATCGTAACATTTCTTTCATAACATCCGGTTCAACATCATCGATGATGACACGATCTGACTGTGACTCACTCATTTTATGTTCAAAGCATGCAGCAAATACAGGAGACCTTGTTGCTAATACTGCTTTATGTACCTGAAAAATATTTTTGACCTGGAAAACGCAGTATAGATATAGAAATGATTAAAAATGATTAGTAAATGCAGGTATCAATAAATTCGTCCTTAAAATGAAGGCGTCCTGGTATTTCTCGGAAGATAGACATCCCACGATATGAAAATACCTTACATGAAACTCCTTTGTACCGGTAACCAGAAGACAGTCCGAGAAACAATGTTTTTCGAATAGATTAGCCATATCATCGGATAATCGGCAAGATGGTACTTTGAATTGCATAAGATTTGATTGTCCTGTTACATTAACTGTTTCTGCTACAACTGATACCTGGAAAAAAATGTTTATGAATCCCAGGAATATTTCTCTTATCCTAAATGAATAATGAATACTGTAGATTTCTTGAGCCATATAGTAAGCGATGAAACCAATGCAATCAGTTGAAAAAAGATGGAAATAATATGATCTTAAATCAAATTTTCGATCTCTATATCAAATTCAACGCACATTTATTTATATGCTATGAAAAAAATTCAGATTAAATTTATCACCTCACAAAAAATACTTAATCTATCTTCAGGAAGGAGACCATTTGCTTCATCGAGAAGAAAATCCCTTCGAATAAATTTCTTGAATCCCCAATCCTTTCCCTGCACAAAGCGATATGCACGTTGAGATTCTGAAATTTTGAAATTTCAATAAAACTACTCAACTTTTTACGGTAATTCTATCTTAAATTCTAAACTACTGCTCACCGAATCTATGCAAATTCAAGTTTTAAAAATTTCACCATGAAATCAAATAACAAGAAAACAAACCCATGGCCTTAGTTTCCTCCCTCTTAGCATTCAGTATTGAAAACTTAAATTTAGCGCGTACTTCATTTTTAGCACATTGTACTAGTAACAAGTAAAGTGACAAGTAATCCTTTGATTCCTCATCAAGTCCTGGAAATAAACAACTGAAAAAATGACCAAGTTCATATCAAACATCACATTCAAAAGAAGTCGAAAACATATGATTTAGTAGTTTGCATGAAATCCTTGCATAAGATCTCAAAGTGTTCAAAAATTTATTACCAATATTTATCAAAAAAAAGTCTCCAGAAAATTGCAGCGCAAATGCAACATTTTATTAAAACAAATACACATTTAAAGAGGCCAACTATAGCTGTATAGTTAAGACAGATGAAGTACCTTTTGGGTTAATCCTTAAACACCATTTTAATTTATCGTTCGAACCAGCACTAAATGTCGAACTTTTCAGTACCTCGCCCATTTCTTCACGACAAAATGAAAAATTGTTAATAGTCCACATATAATTAAACTTGATTACTTTTACCTGAAAATTGGAAAGTCTTGTAACATCTATATGCGCAAAAACAGCTCGATATGTGACTCATTTTTACTCATTTTTCTTATATTTCATAAAATTACCTAAGAATAGCAATTCTCATTAAAGATAACGAGAACTCTTTTCTTTTAAAATAGGTACACTCTCATCCATGTTTGACAATAAAGAATCTTTTTATCCTTCTGAAATAACTAATATGCCTCTGTTAATCCCTAAGAATAAAAATATTTTAATGATACGAATGTTTTAATTTACTGTAATATTTTTTCGTAAGATACTCTTAATTTATTATACATTCGTTTCTAACAAATAGTAAATTACTACTATTTATTTTATAGCACAAATATTATTATACCTGTGTGTGGCACCAATTCTCAGCAACTGGCATATGAACATCTGTTGGTGTCGTTGAGGTTGACGATGAACCACTTGCTGATGCAGATGGACTCTGAGCTCGACTACCACTGATGGCAGCTTGTCCCGGACCACCGCTAACAGATTCATCCTGGGCCGAGCCATCCGCATCCATTATTATGTTAGAATTATTTGAATTTCAGAATGAGCTATTGTGTTACAGTATATGTGAGCCAAGTAATAGGAACACTTAGATAGAACTAAATCAGAATAATAAAGGCAATAATGCCTTCAAGCCAAATTGTCACAGTATAAAATCAGTGAGTATAAAAAATCTGAAAATTAATCTCTGAAATCATTTGGAAATGGACAGATCGAGTGCTACAATACATCAAGCAACGAACGAATAAAATACCAGCAATACAATAGTATAAGATTTCAAATGTTCAAACTCTCATTTCATTTTTTAAACTTCAAGTTCCCAACTTAAAACTTCAGTTCTTCCTTCAGTGACGAAAAATATTCCTCGCAATTTTAATGAATTGTTAGTGAAAAATAATTGAATATAAAGAAGTATAAAACCCGAAATAAATGCACATATAATTCATTCGAAGTGAAAAGAATGAATGAAAAAACTTATTCGCAGCAACTAAATGACCAATTTCTTGACAGACAAACATTGTGAACGGAAACAACCGAATGATCGTAAAGTTGAATCAATTATTTTATTACATGCTGACATCTGGAATATGACATAGATTAGAACAATTTAACAGATGTATAAATGGTTGCCCTTCCTCAACCTTTTCCATTACATTACGGTTCGAAAATATCTTCTAATACAAGATTGAAAGAAAATTACGATTGCAAAATGTCTAAAATAAACCTGGAATCAAATGAAACAAAAAAAAACAAAAACGGATGAAATTCACAACAAAACTGTTGGTGTATAAGTATCACCGCCAACTATAATTTATATATTACAAAAGTATTAAAAAGATTCTGAAATCAAATATAATAAACATATTGATTCTACAATATTTTTAGTAAATCATTATTTTAATTAAAATTTCTGAGAATAAATAATACCATTAAGAAATTATTGTGAAATTTGATGGTCTAATTAATAGGAATCGAAAAAAAAAAACCAAACCTTGCACTTATTGATTCGATAGAATTTCATCCATCATACCAATAATAACACAGCGCGACATCAACATTACGATTTTACAACATTATTTGACAAGCAGAAATGTTAGTGTGAAGCCATAAATGTGTGATTTTTTTTTTATCTATGAAAATTTTATGATTTTCTGGTTAGCATAAATTTCTAACCTTCTTTAATAATGGAAATATATGATCTGTCAATAAATGAATATTTTTAATTTCCATTTATGCAAATTTCTACAACGTTCACATATATACTTCGTAATGGTGCACATTCCTAACTTTTTTAATAACGTAATTAATTAACTACATATTTCATCATATATTAAATTTTGATAATTCAATTTATTAAATAATTTAAATTGATATAAAATAAAAAGGGAAAATACTGTGGCAAACCTTGCTTGCAATTAGATGATAATAAACAAACATGACGGCTCAATGAAAATCGAGAGAAACAGATATACTACCCAAATACACAACTATCATTCCACGTGATTTTAATGCCACACACATACACACATACATACACACACATATATTCCACAACACATACACACATGCATTGAAATATATGTACCGACATACACATATATAATATATATAACTGTACACAGACATCACATACACACAGACATATGCAATGGAACAATATTTCATGATGCTTGTGTACCACAATGAGAAAGGGTATTGACAGTGTCACTGTAGCTGCCCATGCGCGAAATGATGGGTAGATAGGGAAGACGGCACCTTATTATTGCTCTGGACAATCTATTTGTATCGCATACACACACACACATACACACATAGACACAATATGTACGCAGACATACATGTACACTTAAATGTATATTATACTATGACATATATATATATATAATTTTAAACTGTATCAAGTATTATATATTCAAATTTAAATATATATTAATATTGGATATATATATATATCACATGAAAAAATAAATATACATATATGCATATGCCTTATACAGATTAGTTAAGGTTAAATAAATATGTATAACTTTGGTGTAAGCTACAGATTTCTGGATGCGGTATTTTGTGCGAACACAAATAGACAGACACGTGCACATACATACACAGATGACAACACATACATAGATGCATGTGATCATTATACGAGGGTGTAAAGAAGGAAGGAAGAAGGAAAGGCCCGGTTATAAAGATATAAAAGGCCTATCAGCCAGTCCATCACTCTTCTCCCTACCTCCATTCCGCCATTTTTCCGTGCAATTCGAGCAATTCCTTCTCATTCTTCTTCCAATACACTCTCACTCTTCAATTTCTCACCCTTTCTCTCTTACTTTCATCCTCTCTCCCTCACTTCATTCCTTTCATTTTCTCTGCTTCTCTGTGCGTCTGCCAATTAGCCTACCTCAATCGGCTGGATGGTATCACATCTAACCAATATTCAAATTTCGATGCTTCACTTCTCACATTTGCATGGGTAACTGATGAGAGACAGTGTGGAGAATCTCTTCTTCCTCCTCCTTCCTCTTCCCTGTCCTCCTCTATCCTTTGTCTTCCCCCGCCACATCCTCACTTTTGCACTGTGATAACTGCGCTCGAGACAGTTATTCTATTAGTTGATAACGACCAGCCGACATGTCATTGACACACCGATTATATGATTATAAACGAGGAAACTATCGTAGAACTGTTCCTCTGCATATGTCTATTCGAATTACGAGAAAGCAAAAAAAATTAAATTGAGGGTTAAAAGGTTCACTTTACTGTTAGCCTCTCACATATGTTCATTACTTTTAACATCTTTTATTAGCCTTCATCTTTATAAACTACCGATGAAACAAAATCAATATTACTATCTAACATTGTGCAAATAACACGTACCATCAAAAATCAATTATTTTTCCAAACGTACGTTACGTTAGAAATCATCCCAATCTAACGTTCACAGCACACTTTTATTCACGTTATGATAAAATTCGGAATGATTTCCTCTCTCTTATCCGGAATACAATCAATTGCATCTCAGTTGTAATATACACATATCATCATCCATAGAAAGCCATACACTGACATAATAATAATAATAATAATAATGACAATAAATAATACCTACATAATAATAGTAATAAGGATAGTAATAATAATAATAGTGGTAATTCAGTGATAATAATGATAATGTGATTATTCTATTATCAGTGGTAAAAGAATTTAAGGATTACATACACCAGTAGAGTAAAGTCCATTTTATTGCTTAAAATTAAACTCGAAAACTATTCACAGTTTCAAATTATTGCTAATATATAAATATGTATATTTGAAGTAAGAAATAAATTTAAATTGGAATGATAAGTATTGATAAAAATATTTTGAGTAGAAAGAATTAATGATAGGATCATTGATTTCTACTCATTTAATCATGATAGGGAAATGATAAATTTGAATTTGACAATCAGTTGATATTCATTTCTTACAACTTCCACAGTAAACTTTATTCTTCGTATGTCTATATTTGAAAATGAATGAATGATTCTATTATTAAATAAAAAATGATAAATATATAACAATTGATACAAAATGATGAAATTCATTCCTACCTATAAATTTTCATTACTGATAATCAAACTATCATATATGAAATATCTCACGAAAAATAATCGAATAAATTATTCAAGATCTAATCAGTGGATATTATTCTATGATATGATATGATCTTGGCACCAAATTGAATGATTATAATTAAAGATTTTGATCCCAATATTCGCATACTTTGATAGTAGTATAGTTGAATTATTCGAGAAGTTTCAAAAATTCAAAAAATATATATCGAAAAATGATTGCATGTGAAACTTTGAAGATAATTATCATCTCATTATTATTAATAGTATAGTTGAAATTTTGCCAAATTTATTTGGCAACAATTTTATTTCAAAATTTGACAATATCGATTATATGGGGGTGGAAATAACGGAAATTGATGAATATCATCAGATTTCATTTTCTTGAAAATGAGGAAGAAAACAAAAATTCTATTAATATTAATACATAATTCTATAATTAATAATTAATAATTATAATTAATAATTTGATGATATTTATATTTAAAAGTTAATTTAATCCAATTTCTATTGATGAAATAGAATATAAAATAAAATGAAAAAAATAAAGAGATATTTTAAAGAAAGAAAACTTTTTATGTTTTAAATTAATTAGACAAAAGAATGGGAACAATAGAGAGAGAGAGAGAGAGAGAGAAAGAAAGGAAGAGAAAGAGAATGAAAGAGGAAGGTAAGTGGAAGAAAAGAGGAAGAGATAGTAATGAAAAGTGTCGTCTATTAGATAAGCAACATATCGGTTCAAAAATGAAATTTGTTGAAATTTCAACGGACAGACAGGTAATAAACATTCACAATAAAAACTTTTCTTCACTCTTGTTTTCCGTAAGGCAGCAAAATGGACGAAAATCGATTTGCTACGCTCAACTAACCCATCAATATTCCTATTAGAACATCGATTGTTCTGTATCTGTGTGTATATGTATGTGTGGACGTGTATGTGTGTGTGTGTGTGTGTGTGTGTGTGTGTGTGTGTGTGTGTTCGTATGTGTATATGTGCGTATATGTATGGTATATATATGTAAATTCATACATACAACTATATGTGTGGCGGAAAATTTTTAGCCATTGTTGTTGCTAAGTGATCATCTGAACAAACTATAGAAGATGGAAGAAGTGACTATTAAACAAATATATCTGAGATTGAAAGATGCGGGCACGCACATACACACACACATACACACATACACGTACACACATACACGCACACACATACACACACACACATACAACACTCACTCATATATATTTAATGATAATGTAACATAGTTAATAACATAAATTATAAAATTCTCCTTTCTGTTAACTATAATTTTCCTTCTTTCCCTTCTAAAAGGAAAGTAAATGATTGTCCTAAAATATAAAAGAGGTATGCTTGATAAAAGGAATATCAAAAAATCAATTGTTGGAAATCGAAGGGATTTAAAAAAAAACTCGAAGTTAAACGGATTGTTTAGTCAATCTTCAAATGTGTGAATGGAAAAAAGCATACGTTAATTAACAAAGAAGACACGATGACTATAGATCTAGACTTATCGTTTAGGTAAAAATCTAGAATTAACAAGATAATACAAGTAATTCCTAAATTTTCATTTAGGTACCGCGTAAAACTTTGTCATGTAACAGGGTATTTGACCGAGGTTGTTGTGTTTTGAACTTTATCCAAAATTTTTGGAATCCGTTAGAAAGGTTAACGTACTAACTTCAACCACGAACAGTCAGGTTTATTTCTTTTTTTAAAGTGATGATTTCGAAGTGGATATACGCTTAATCAGTTAGGACAGTTTCCTTTGGTTTGAAATAATAAAAGCTATGGTTTGTGAATAATCAATATGATAGCTGTGATTTATTGGTGGTGTACATTACGGCAAAGGCCTTCTTTCTCATAACTCTCTCATTATAAATTCATTTCTGCTGGGATATTTTATACCACATTAATCCTCTATTTCAATACCGAATTCACTCCTTTCCTTCTTAATGAAATTAGAGGACAATAATAATTTTGTCAAAAACTACGTAGCGTTCATTGTCTAAATCAAACGTACTTAATATCTCTGTGGGCAAAAATTGTCAAAGAGTTGCTGTTCATTGTCAATTTTCTTTAGTGAAAATATCACAGTATCATATTTTTACAAAAATGAGACTAGGTATTATTTTAATTTTCTTCCGGAAGACGTTTTTTCATCATTACTTCCTATTTATTATATGTACATCTAAAAAAACCGCAATGCCAATAATATCAGTTATTTACACACAATTTATATTAATATTATTAGCTCGATACACTCATGGTTATTGAAATTGACGCACTAGACGCGTCTGGATGACTGATAACCTTAATTACGACTTATTTTGGGGATAGAGCTTATATTAAGAGCATCACGAAAAATCATCCTAGGATTTGTTTTCCTATTAAGTCTCATTTTCAGGGAAATACACTACCTAAAGAAGAAAAAATGGAAAGTATTTGTTTCAAAATCACCTCGTTAATGTAAACTAAGATCAAGCTAGAAGACAATGATCATGCAAGCAAATCACTTTCCATGATATGGAAACACTTTTCATTCTTCTGTCATTCAGGAAATAGTGGTATTGTTCCTTCTTTCCAGTTTTGCTAAGGGATCGTAGATTTCGGACGTTATTGCAAGAGGTTGCTCTTGAGGATTTGCAAGTTATAAAAAACAGCACATAAAATGATCGTCGGAAGGTGGATTCCGCTCAAAACTGCTGACACTCGGTTTCCCCATCATTCGAACAAAACGAAATCTTACAGTTTTCCCCATCTTTTTCCTATCAATTTAACTGATATTGGCGAAAGAGAGAAGATTGAATATTTCAAGAAAATTTGGACTTTTTGTTGGAATTCTAATATCACGGGAATAACGTCGAAAGATGAAATTGTTATATTTTTTTTTGTGGATTGGAGCAACTGTGATTATACTGCAGGATATAGGAGATTAATCCAAGCAGACTTGTGATGTGCTAAGGAGTTTATTTAATTTTGCTCATTTTGTTCTTTTTTTTACTTCTTAAAAATTAACTGAATTCAGGGATTTTTCATAGCAATTTGTGAATTCGGAACTTCTCGATTGTTTTGTCTTTTGTCGTACGACAAACTTTCAAAAACATGGAAAAGAACTTAAAGCAAAATACATTGACATTCAAAACAAAATAACTTCTTAGTGCTTAATAAATTCACAATATGATAGGAAAATATTCGAAATATAACAAATCCAAAATTATCTCACTGCTTCATATCAAAATCCAGCTGATAAAATAACAGGTGTGGTGAGCGGAAACAATTCATTCTGGGGGAATAGAAGTGATATTTACAAAAATTTGTAACTGAACGAAATCTCCCAAAAATGTAAAAAATATTGCAAATATTTTTCAAAGAAAAAATTTGAAATGCAAATGATAGATACAATATGAATCCATTTATTAATGACATTCAATAATTTAGGGAATATTTAGCATGTATAATTTGTTTATATATTTATATCGATGGCATTATTTCCGAATTTCATTCTCTAAAATTATTATAAGTTTGCGTTTCTTTTTCTTTTCTTTAATTACAATTGTCAAAGTTTAATTCTCCTAATTATTTTCAGTCATTTTTATCTCTAATTTCTGAATGGTTAGCTGTACGTTGATAAAACGATTTACCTTTACGTTGAAACGATCAAGTGGCAAAAGTGGTTGGGGACCATATCGTAATATACGGAAAGGTGATCACTTTGTTGGTACTGAACCACATCCGTTGAAATATCATGTGGTAAGTCTTGTTAATTGTTCCTGGTAGGCCATAATGCAGCAAAAAACATTTTTCTTTAGATGTATTCCCTTTTATTATATCTTCAACAGTTGTATTGATTAAAATGATAAGATTTTTATATTTTTGTTCATCCATAGATTAAAAGTCAATTGTTTTTTGGCAATAAATAGAAAATGAATTCAATTTAACTTGTTTATTTTCTCAATATCTTGTTGATATTAGAATAAAGTCAAAGAGGCATGTTTATGTGAACAAATGAACCTGTTAGGAAATACGGAAAATGCAAGAATTTCCGTGATAGAAGCCCCTTGACTGAAATATCTTTTTGTGGTTATGTCTATATCATAAAGCAAATATTCTATTCCCTGAATTTTCTGGATTTATTCAAATCTATTTCGATTGATCTATTCCGGTTTTCATATTCTACAATCCTATATATTTTTTGAAAAAAAAATTTTTGTCTTTCATTTAGCAATACTATATCGATAATTTAACGAAAAAATAAGCTGCAACACTTCAGGATTATCATATCCAATAAAAAGATAGCAGACATAAGCAAATTTTGGAATAATTAATCAAACATATAAAACTTTTAGTTATATATGATGAGATGAAGACCAGATCTTGATGTTTCGAACGTTCATTTTTATACTCATTTGCTACGAAATGCTGTAACTTGATTGATTTGTCTATTAAGACATCCTTTTACGATAAATATCTTTAGTTGAAGTGTCGCAGCTTACTCATACTGCTCTTTACGTCTTTAATGTGTCACTATGCCAAACAAAAAAAAAAAAATGGTGGACGTTTCCTTTGTTCTAGTTTCGATCGATCTGCATTTTCCCTAGAACTAACGAAGTTTTCGAAACGCTCAGTTGGTCGATTCATGATTTATTACATGATGAAATGAATTTCAACTGATGAATCTCTCTTTTTCATTAGTGAATAAAAGATTTTGACATTGTGGTACAGTGATTTAAAAATATATGTACCTAATAAATATTCTCCGTGGCTCATATGGAGAAAGAAAACTCTTTTCTCAATGATGTGTTATGTAAAGAGACATATAGATATGGCATAGATTGAATATTCCGTGCTCACTTTTCTCTACACAACGTGTTATACTTTATCTTTTCTTGTTATTCATACATAATTTCAGTTTTTCTTTTGATATTTCTCAGTTGCGAAATTGTATTTCTTCAAACTTTTAATTGGTCTATAAGACTGACCTTTTTTAGTTGCAAGATAAGAAACCATTGCATAAATACGGATTGCAAGGAACGCGTCATCTGCTTCCAGGAACCGGTAAAGTCAGTTCAACACTGCCGACTCGAACAGTTCTGAAAAAAGATAAGATTTATGCTTGGTGTTCGTGCGGATATAGTGGAACTCAGGTACTATTAAATTACCATTTTGTTATTTCATGTTTTTTTAACTGGCATCCTTTTGAATCAATTATTGTAAAGGATATTGGAGTTTAGATTTTACTGGAAGAAATATTTTACGTTTATTATGATTGACTCATAAAGAGAGGATTTGGAGAACGGCGAACTGATTTAAATATCATCAAGTGCTTCGGTTTTAATTTCGGACAAGAATTTGTTTTGGGATAATGTCTACAATATATCTAGCTATATTTAATTGAAGTAATGGACATTATTTATAAAAGGCAAAAGTTCTGAATATTAACTGACGTATTTCTTTTTTTGATTCTTCTAAATTAATGTATTTCAGCCTTTATGTGATGGAAGTCACCTTCATTACTACATTCCAACAAAGCTACGACCTGTACGATTCATTCCTGACAAAGATATGGAGGTTAATTTCTGAATTTCGAAAGAGAATTTAATTTTTTTTCTGGACCAGTGTTTCATAAATGTCTAATTTTCCATCCGAACTTTGTTGCAGCGGAGATTACAAGAATTTAAGTACAATAAAAGTTATTGTAGAGATATAACAAGATTTTCAGGTATGGTTTTGTAATTGTAAACAAACTAAAACGCGCCCATTTTGTGATGGTTCACATCGCGAAGTTAGCGCAAAGCTCAAAAAAGCTTCTGAAGAGGACGAAAATAAATAAGAATACCTTATGTAGCATTTTATTTAATTGCTAATAAAAAAAGCGATAGATAATGAATGATTGATGGTCCCAGAAGGTTATTTTTTTCTTCCTGTGTTTTGATATGGAATCGGTTTTATTTGTGTTTTTTATTAGTAATCATGCAATAACTTGTTCTTCGGTTCACAAATTTATTAAAATTGTTTTTTTTTTTAATTAGAAAACAGCAATGCGATGAACTTAGTTGTTAATTTATGATTTTACGTGTAGTCATTGTTAATCCTTCACGGATATGTTTTTGTCTTATTTTCTTATGAAAAGTTTGAATTGGTTTTCAAGTTATCAGATTTATGAAGCTTGCTTTATTTAATAGATTTATGCCAAGAGATCCATACATTATGAGAACTGGTTGAATTTTATTCATTTATTGCAAAATTTACCATAACTGTATTTACATTTGGAGATTGCACCGAATTCGTCAGCAATCAGCAAAATACTACGAAAGGCAGCGATAAGCTGCTAAGTTAAAATAATGGCTAGTTTAAGTCATATATCTTAGCTGGAGGCTTGACAGATATAAATTAATTCAACTCTTTTAAAGACTTTCAAAAGTAACCTGGTGATTTTCGTTTATTTTTTTAATTAATGATTCAAGTAATTAAGTCTCTTTAACACTTAATTTTATTTTTTACTGCATCGTTTAGTAGTTCTTGGCTGTTTTGAATTGCATAAAATGAATGATATATGGTTTGAAAGTCATTACATCACTGTTAATTTCTTTTTCTCGATTTCGCTGTTTCCCGACATGGTCCTCCGAATGGTGGCTGAAAAAAAAAGCTAAATGGGGAAAGTTTCGAAATTGTTTGTCGGAAAAAACTTTAATAATTATTCTTTCAAAGTTGAAACTTCGCTTGTCTTATTTTCTGATGCTAAGTTAACATTTGCGAAGAAATAAAAAGTACACAAAGCAATCGAGAGAGCCAATAATTTAAATTAATTATTAATTAATTTGTAGCAACTTGTTCAAACTATATATTTACATGAATTAATGGCAAAGTATTAGTGATATTCCGAAATAAAAGCGCTATCAATTAATTTTTGCAAAAGAAAAGTTAAGAACGAGAAACAATTAAATAACCTTTTTCTTTTGAAACAATATTAGATGCAAGTTTATTTATATCACTTAGTTAATCATTTAAAAATTAAACTCATTTTAATTGATTTTAAACTATCATTTCCTTAATAAATTCTTATAACATTGTACTAAATAAAAGGTCATATCATTCATTCCTTTAAAAAAGAAAAAAATCTTCTGTAATTAATAAATGCCACCTACACAATCACAATCATATCAATTTTACCTGTACAACTGGTTGATCTAATGGTACTAAAAGATACTGCGAAATGATAATTGCAAAAAGCCAAGCTGTTGTTAGAAACCATATAAGTGCAATTGGTGCACTAAAATAATCCCATAAATAAACTCTTTGATTTGTATAATCCATTCAAACAACTACTACCAACTTTTGTTTTTCCAAACTCTTTTTTTTTTAACAATGAAATTATAATTAGCTCAGATAGTTAAATTTAAATTAGAAGTGAAGTTATGCAAATTTTTGAAAATCACAACATAAAATTATAGAATGCAAAATTAGATAGGAAAAAAAGAAAAGAAAAGTAAAAGTAAAATGATTTTGCAGAACGAATTCCAATTTTTATTATATACCATAAAATAATTAAAGAAAAACAAAAATTCCTTTTTCCATTCCTTCCCTCATTTCATTTCAAAGATGAATTTATATTTATTCGCACTTTTAAATTATTTCTATTTTAGCCATTTGCTAATTAACTTTTCGAATTTCTTAATCTTTTGCATTATCAAATTATTGCTGGCTTATTAAGAGAATTAAATAATTAAATGGAATTAAATAATTAAATAGAATTAAATAATTGAATAGAAATAAATAATTAAATAGAATTAAATAATTAATTGGAATTAAATAATGAAAAATTGCGAAATATTTTGTTAATCTTTTATCTGTCAAAAAATATTTGAAAATGCTTAAATTACATTTTAACATATTTATTCGATATTATTTATGATGTTTTTATCCATTTCAAAAATTTCAGTAAAAGAGATTTTCTTTTCTCTTTCTTTCTTTGAACAATTTTTACATTCTCTTTCTCACTGATCAAATTATTTTCCTTTATCACTTTATCACTCACTAATCAATTGTTTTCAATATTTTTGTTTCTTACTTTTATTGATTGATTTTTATCAACTTTCAAACTTTTTTTTTTAATTAAGCCAAAACTTTTTTAATATAAATATTGCAAATATTTAATTAATAGAATAATAATATTGATTAATTAATTAATATTGTTTGTTATTTTTCTTTCTTCCTTTTTTTTTTGTTATATTTTTACCATTGATAATTACCTGTGTTAATACATTATTATCTTGATAGTGTCATTTTGATATTTTTAATTATATTTTAATTAATTTTAAATTAAAAATTCGAACCAAAAAAAATAAACAAAAAAATAAATCAATCAATTATAATCATTTT